TCCGCTGGACTCTCTCCAGTAGCTCTTCATCTTTCTTGAACTGGGGAGCCCAGAACTGGACACAGTACTCTAGATGAGGCCTCACTAGGGCTGAGTAGAGGGGAAGGAGAACCTCCCTCGTCCTGCTGGCCACACTCTTCTTGATGCACTCTTCTTGATAACGTTCCGTTTCGGCCAAGAAATCCTGTGCATGGCTGAGAAGGGAAAAGGAAGAGCTGGGACTGAAGGGAAAGGTTCCACCACCAGCTCCCCAGGAACGTCCCGAGCTGCGGCCGGGCCAAAGGGAGGACTTCCCGCTTCTTCACAAAGCTCCGAGTTAGGAAGCACGGAGAGAACAACAACGCTGTGGTGAACAGAGTCTCCCCAAGTCGGAGAACAACGTCTGTCGCATCCTCATATTTGATTTCTGCTTTTTTTCCCACTAATTCAGCTCACAGCAGGTATCTGAGCAGGGTTTTGGAGGAGGAAAGAGTTCAGACAACGTTGGTCAAACCAATGGGGGTGGAAGGCAGAGGCGGGTAAGATGGGAACTGCGGTGTGCCACTAATACAGGGTGTAAATATTACACTGCACTGGCTGCGAGGTGCCAGTGAGACGGCACGCTACGGCAGTACCCGACTACACACGCTGTCTCCTCAGAGTGGGAAAGACCCCAGGATGCAAAGCAGAGAGCGAAATCCGTTCCTGCCTCCGCTTGCTACTCTTGCACGACTTCTGCAGAAAATCCAGGTAACCTCGGAACGTCGCTGAACCCCCCAAGCCCAGCAACCCCCAGCCCCAGGAGCGGGGCCCAGCCCACCGCTGCGCTGTGTTAGCTCCGGTTGTAAGCGATTGAACACCCAACAGCACCCACCACCCAACTACTGCCCGGTTTCTGAGCGAAGGGAGCCCAGCGCAGGACAGAACAGGGCGCAGCGGCTCAAGGCCGATGGGACCCACCCAACCCCATAACAGGCTTTACCCTCAGAGATGCTGCGCTCATCCCCAGCCAGCGCTGCGACCAGCAGCACCAGAGGAGGTCAGAAGGAAAGGGTACGATCTTCTCGGGAAAGCAGGGTGAGGGCAGGAAAACCTGGATGCAACAGATCCACTGTTCCTGGCCGTGCTGGTCTGTAAATTCTTTCAAGACCTGAAATACACTTAATTGCTCTCCCCTTGGGTTCCCACACCAGTAAATCAGCACTCGTGCCACCAGTTCAATCCATAAGCACGAACGGTAACGGCGTTTTAGGCCACTGTCACAGCCTGCCTTCATCAGTCAGCAGCGGTGATGGAGAAAGAAACCTCAGAGTCCTTCACAGACACAGACCCCGTTAAAATCACCACTCCTGGGAAGGAAAATTACCTTTCCTTTTCCATCGGCTTTTCTTCCCGTCTTTGTTACTGCACCCGTCGCTGCTGCTGCTGCTGCTGCTGTTCTCGGAGCTCTGAGAGTCGGACTGGGCATCGCTGCTCTCCTCTGAGCCATCCGAGAGCTCCTTCAACCCGTCTGGAACATCTTTCTGCAAAAGCAAAAACCCATACAGTCACCCACTCCACAGAGAATCCTCCCGGTTAACAACATTCTCAAAAGTAGCGGTTTTCTTTATTCACCAAGCACCGATTGTCGATATTTTTGTAGGCTGCAGAGCAATGTCAGAACTGCTTAGCCTCTGGGCACCTGGGGAGGAACAACCCCAGGCACCAGGACAGGCTGGGGCTGAGCTGCTGGAGAGCAGCTCTGCGGAGAGGGACTGGGAGTGCTGGGGGACGACAGGGTGACCATGAGCCAGCAGCGTGCCCTGGGTGCCAAGAAGGCCAATGGGATCCTGGGGTGCATGAGGAGGAGTGTGGGCAGCAGGGCGAGGGAGGTTC